TTCGGGCAGAGAAGGCTAGGAGGGACCAGTCCTTGCAGAAGGGTATCATGCTTGGAAGGATGGAGGGACAGCACAAGAGAGGAAGACACCAGATGAGATGTATTGACATAGTAACTGAGGTAATGAGAGTTGGTATGTCAGAGACATTGAAATTGGCTCAGGATAGAGCAGGCTTCAGATCATAGGGTCACTATGAGCCATAGTCAACTCGATGGATGGCACATAACAACAGCAATCATATTTCTTAGAACCAAAAATGTGCTTTTCTCTATAAGGTTCTATAGAAATTGTTAAATTTTTTTTAAAGTGAGTAGAAATCCGTTTTCCAAGAAGACATGGACCTCTGATGGGCAAACTCTCTAGGTATTTTACTTTTCCCTATTGATGATCTCAAATATCTGGCATAATGTCTGAAAGCAATGAATTCTGAGGTGTTTGGTGAGGAAAACGTTGACTGTGATAGTGAAGGTTATGTCCACTTGACTGTCCATGAGTCTCAGTGTTTTGCAGTGATGGAATGATGTATTTTAGTAGTTGTGTATTGATGTGATTTGAAATTGTGCAATAATGTAGTCGTCTTCTATTTTTGTGATCTGATGTGGTCATCCTTCACTTTTGCATGGCCCCAATTTTCACATAAGGACTTAGCCTTTGGAACTCAACCAACTCAACTCAACTGTGAGGAGTGGGTAAAATCAGAGAGAAGGGTGAGGCAAAGTTGTTAAAGGCTGATTGCTGCTTACTTTACATACATAGAAATATTGTAAAGAAATCAATGTTATCAAAATCAGTTGCTGACAGGCTAATTCCAACTCAGAGCAAGCCTGTGAGTGACAGAGTAGAACCGAGCTCCACCAGGCTTTCAGGGCTGACTTCTCATAAGTAGATCAACAGGCTATTCTCCCAAGGTGCTTCTGCTTGAACTTGGACCTCCAAATGTTTTGCATCACACAGGGACTCTAAAATTATCAAAGTCTGATTGGTATCATATGTGACTATTAAAAGTGCCCCCTAAGAATGGCCTTAGACTGTACATATCTTGTCATATACCCCTTATTATACTATCCAAATGAGAAACATTGAAAATAACAGAATGGCAAGGAGACTCTTTGTGGGTGACAAGCACCATCATGAGTAGTGTTTATTCTGTGACACGTGGTTCATCGACAATCACCTCTGAGGATAAGACAACAGCATGCAGATTACTTATGCCAGAAAATAAAGCAGGATTGTAAAACTGAATCAGCCATTCTTTCTTTTTCTCTCTTTTCATTTTTACTGGTTTACATACAAAGTTCATAAAATTCATATACGTTGTTTTTCAACAATTCTTATGTTTTCTGAGGCAGCTATCTCATGACATTCATGATGTCTGTTGGCAAAGTTCTAGGTTTATGGATCATCAGTTCATTGTCAATTGCATTAGGAGTAATGGGCCTTGTGCATCATGGAAAGAAACTTTATTATTATGGCCTTAGAAAAGGCCTATCTCCCATCTGGTGCCCCTATTATTTGGCTTCAGGAAGTACCCTGATGCCTTGGCTCTGGTGACCCAGTGCCCTCTGGGTTTCACTCTTCTCAACTCACTGCCCTCAAGTTGGAAACAAGTAATCGCTGACCCTCCCTTTGGTTTCCAAAGCTATAAATTGCAGGGAAGGAAATTGCCCATCCTTCTCCCTGGGAACCACTGATGGATTTCAATGGCACATAACTTGACCTTGGGATTAGCATTGCAACTCCCTACACACTATGTACTAGGTTTTGGTGATGGTTTCAAAGGATGCTTATCACAAATGATACCTACATTGGCAAGTTCATTAATGAAAGCAAATCCTTATTTAATATTTATGGTCCAATACAGTTGCAGACATTTTTTTTTTAATTTTTAAATTGTAATTTGTAAATATGCAGAGCAGATTATCTGGGAGGCTGGGCTCTAGAAGGAGAAGTGTGGCATTAGGATTGGAGGAAGATCCATCAACAATCTGCGTTATGCAGATGACACAACCCTGCTGGCTGAAACTGAGGAGGATCAGAAGCACTTGCTGCAGAGGGTCACGGATTGTAGCCTTCAATATGGATTAAGGCTCAATATCAAGAAGACAAAGATTCTCACCACTGGGCCAATAGACAGCATCAGGATGGATGGTGAAGAGATTGAGATTGTTAACAGCTTTAGTTTGCACGGCTCCACAGTCAACACTCTTGGCACCAGCAGCCAGGAAATTAAAAGACACATTGTGATGGGAAAGTTTGCTGTTAGGGACTTCTCTAGAGTACTGAAGAGCAATGGTGTCTCTCTGGAGACTAAGGTGCGCCTGATACAGGCCATGGTCTTTGCAATCACTTGCTATACATCAGAGAGTTGGACAATAACCAGGGAGGATAGAAGGAGAATTGATGCCTTTGAGCTGTGGTGCTGGAGAAGAGTATTGAGGGTACCATGGACTGCTAAGAAAATGAACAGGTTTGTCCTGGAGAGGGTTAAACCAGGCTGCTCCTTGGAGGCAAGGATTCTGGGGCTTCGTCTGACATACTTTGGACATGTTGCAAAGAGGGACCGATCCTTGGAGAGGGATGTCATGCTGGGAAGGGTGGAGGGACAGCGCAGGAGGGGAAGACCCTCTATGAGATGGATTGATTCAGTGACTGGGGTAATCGTGATGGGTGTGTCAGAGGCAGTGCGATTGGCACAGGACAGAGCAGGGTTTAGGACTGTTGTACAAAGGGTCGCTATGAGTTGCAAGCAGCTCAATGGCACATAACAACAACAACAGCAACAAATTGTTGACCAAATCTTAACACTTTCAATAAGATTAAGACCAATTTTTATACTGAGATTCTTTATAACAGATCCAAATACATGCAAACCTATTCTTTCTTCCCATACAGCATTTATCCCGGTATTCTTTTGTCATTCTTTAAAAAATTCATTAAAATATGTAGACACCCTCTGTTACTCCTACATGCTGATAATTCTGTACACTTTTATCAGGGGTAACTGATATTGTGTGTAATCAATTTAATAAGCAGTTTTCGCGAAGGTAACATACCATGTTAGGCGAGGTTCTGGCCAGCCTGCTACGGAGCAGTGCAGTTTCACGTTCTCCTTCTCCCACACAGTGTGTGAACGAGGCTTAATGATAAATTCAGGGGCATGAAGAAGACTATCTTCATTCAGCTTTCTATGATATGCCTCAGTTTCTTCTAACTGGAAAAAAATAGTATTATTGTGGTTGTATACTGACTCATAGCTGACTCTCCAGCAGGTTTTCAGAGGCTGTAAATTACATGGGAGGAGATTGCCCATCATTCGAGCAGCTGGTGGATTCTAACTGGTAGGGAGGCTTGGCCTTTGGGTTCGCACCTGAACTCCCACCATGCATACTATGCTACTACTATGAAAATATTGTTGTGGGAAGGCACTGATTCCAACTCATAGCAATTGATGTGACAGAGAAGTACTCCACAGAATTTTCTTGACTGTGATTGTTATAAAAGCAGATTGTCAGATATTTCCCCATGGAATCATTATTGTTGTTGTTAGATATAGCCCAGTTGAGTACGACTTACAGAGACCCTAAGAACAACAGACCTGAATCCTGTCCTATTTTGTGCCATCCTTGTACATGCTATTATTTAACTCTTTACATGTTAAGCTTTAACAATATACTTGACTTCCTTAGGTGAATTCCTTAAAGTCCTTTAAATGGAGTTTAAAGTTTCTGACAGTTCCAACTTTTAGGTTTCACTTTCTTTAACCCTCACAGTTCAATGCCTTTTTTCCTAATTGTTTTTTGTTTTGCTTCTCTATAAAGTCTCCTAACTTGGCATAAATCAATGGGCACACATGGGCTCCTGCTCGCGCTCTCTCTCTCTCTCTCTCTCTCACACACACACACACACACACACACACACACACACACACTTAATTCCATGCATTTATGTTTTTATAACATGTCTTTTCTTACTGTTTTTCTCAGCGACAAGTGTTCTGCCTTTTCTCGAATTGCGACTTTCCTTGATTTCTTCTCAAAAGCCTCCTCCTGAAGGAGAGAAGATTCAAATGCAGACTGCTGGGATGCCATGGTCTGCTGGGACGCCATGGCCTGCTTGGACATCATGGATTTCTTGGATGTGGTGGTTGCTTCTTCACTCGCAAGAAGATTCCTCTGGGCTATATACGCAGCTGCTTCTTTAATTCTTTCTTCTTCTGTATCTGTAATCCCACTGACGTGCACTTGGCTAAAACAAAGTAAAAAACAAAATATGAATATTGTGGATGGCAGTGATGTCAGTGCCTTGTTCCAATACATGAAGTTCAATGATGATCTACAGCCCAATAGCTCAACAAGCTTAAACTAGGTGTTTTGTGTGAAAAGGATGAGCAATCTTCACCCATGTGGCTAACTGACTCTGAAAACCCACTGGAGGGTCAGCTATAGGTCTGTACAGACTGGATGACACACAACAACAATAAGAAATATTACTAGAAAAATGAGTAGACAAGATAAATAAACTTTATTTCTTACCAAATTTAGTGAGCAAATTTTAATTTCTTTCTTCTTATATTGTTGTAATTGTTATGTACCCTCAAGTTGGAACCAATCCATAGCTGACCCTCTAGCAAGTTTTCAGAGACAGTTAATTACACAGAAGGTGATTGCCCATCTTTCTCTCCTGAAGCAACTGGTGGGTTTGAATTGTATACTAGGCCATCAGAGCCTCCTCCTCATCTTCCTAATATTAATAAAGAAGTCCCTATTAATAGAATCAGCAATATATCCACTATTCAATTTAACAAGTCAGAAAAAAATAGTAATTTTTTTCACTTATCCTAATATAATTTACATTGGTAAGTGTCAAGTCTACTGTGATTCTTAATTCTAATTTTTCTAAGAATGTAGGAAAGAAATGAATTTTTAATAAACAAAAATAAATTAGGTGATAAAAATTTGTTCAAAATTCACTCTCTATACCATCTCACTCCAGTAGCAGTGGCAAAGTGTAACAGGATAGCAAGCAATAAATGTTGGAGAGGATGTGGTGAGATAGGAACTATTGGTGGGATTGTAAAATGGTACAACCACTCTAGAAGGTAGTTTGGAGTTTCCTCAGAACGCTGAACATTGAAATTCCATATGACTCAGCTATTCCACTGCTTGCTTGGAATATACCCTGAGAGAATGAGAACTGGGGCACAGAGATTTATACACCAGTTTTTATAGCAGTTTTATTCACCATTGCAAGTACATTAAAACAGCCCAAATGTCCAACTACAATTGAATGGATTGAGAAAGTATCGTATATTGACACAGTGGAATACTACACAGCATGCAGAAACAACGATTTTGTAAATCATTACCTAAATTGGGAGGGACTGGAGAGTATTATGCTCAGTGAATTAACTCAGTTCCATAAGGATGAAAACTGTATAAGACCATTATTATAGAACAAGTATAAGGATCCAAGAGGAGGATGGGGGAGGGAGAGCAGAGGGGTGAGGATGGGCACGGGGTGGGGGTTAATCATAGGGTACAGTTTGATGGGCAGAGGGGGAATGAAGGAAACGGGAAAGATCTGATGTGAAAAACAATGTATACAAACTTGATAAATAAACCAGTATAAAAAAATTTCTCTGGGCAGGGAGAAAAGTGCAACAATGAATGAATGGAAATCCAAAATCTCTGTAAATGTTCATTAAAATTATTAAAATAAAATTTTTTAAAAAATTAAAAAATTTCTCTCTCTCTAGCGAGTGAATCTACCTCTGTGTAGTCATACTTGTAGAGGGAGATTTGAAATGAGTGCTGGTATATCCTACAGTGCACATGGTAACCAATCATGTCCAGTGCTCCCCTTACCCTAAGCTGAGGCCTCACACTGCTTCCAACAACAGCTATGTTGGCACAGTGAACAGCATGAAAGGCAGGAGGGACTCATGGTCTTTTGCCTTTCCCACTTAAAAATAATCTGAACCTCAAAAGTAATTATTTAGCTTCTGACTTTATGTACATTTTAAAACATGTATATATTTTTGGATGTGCATAGGGATTTGAGTCTTAGAAGATCCCATTCATCTATGTTATCTTCTCC